TTAACGACAATCGATCTACACTGCACTGCCAATAACCCGACCGACGGCTCCTACGGAACAGATAAATGTTCTGAATATTATATTATTTTATTTATAATTAATTTAATACGATTTAATGTTTACGTATTCTTTGAAGGCAACCGAGATTTCCACGTGAATAATAATAATCTCTAGTCTTGGCCTTGGACGTGTTTGATTTTTTTTTTATCTCGGTCGGCAGCGACCGCAATGATTATAGTGATTAGTGATTACACGTAATGCATGGGTTATTGAAAACGTCCGAGATAAATAAAATTAATGGGAGAGAATAGGAAAACGGCGTTTACGTAAGTCGAGAAGGAAAGAAGGCATACGCTGCAGAGAATCGTGATAAATAAAATTTGATTTATGACGGTCAACAATGTTATTTTGTTCACGGGCGTGATTAAACTTTGTGTGAACGTCGCCGATGCCAAACATCGAATTATAATAACGATATTATTTATTATAATTTTGACAGTGGCTACTGACTAATGATCGATTAAATTATGCGCCACAGCACCGTTTTTCTCAAGGTATGGTGGAAAAAAAATGAGATGTGATCAGACGAGCAATACATGAAATTAATTACTGATATTCTGTACCTTTCTCACACCCAATATTACTCAAGTTAACATTTATAATTTTTAGTCTGTAGTCAAATCGTTCAAATTAGTAAACCTGACATACAACGTATAGGTACAAATAACTAAACATTGATAATAGATACTTCTTTTAAACAATATTTAAATCATGTTATAATAGAAGTATAAAACTTATATTATCTCTAAATAAAATAGACAAAATAAAACGGAAAATCTTTTATTTAATTCAGGTTTTATTTTTAATTAAATTGAATTTTTATGGCAATAAATAAAAATCTGGATACAAAAAATTTATTACTTATGTGGAACTGCTACCTAATTAAAAAAAAAAAAAAAAAATGTAATACCTTATTCCCATTAATTTAACTTTTGCTATGTAAACAAATTAATTTTAATAAAATAACTATAAAAATAATTCATTAGTAAAAAGAAACATAGCATTATCTTTTATTATGTGATATATTTATTCAACTGTTTTGAAGTAGTCCTTGGATTTTGATGGGTTGATGGTCTTGCTACCTGGTTTCCAGTTGGCTGGGCAAACTAAAATAAAAATAAAATAAATGTATAAGTTTTGAAAATTTAAGATCTGTAAATAGACATACCTTCTCCGTGTTCGTCAGTGAATTGGAATGCTTGAACAAGACGCAAAGTTTCATCGACAGATCGTCCAACAGGTAAATCATTGATAGTGATTTGTCTCAAGTTTCCTTTATTGTCAATGATAAACAAACCACGGTATGGTATTCCAGTAGTTTCGTTATAAACTTGATAGTCCTTGGCAATAGCAGCAGACTTATCAGCCAACAAAGGAATTTGCATTTTGCCTAAACCACCTTCATTACGTGGAGTGTTTACCCAAGCCAAATGACTGAAGTGGCTATCGCAAGAGGCTGCGATTAACTGGCAATTGATAGCCGCAAATTCATTAGCACGATCCGAAAATGCAATTATTTCAGTTGGGCACACAAAAGTACTAAAAATAAAAATAAACAATTTAATATTGTACATTAAAAAAAAAAAAAATTAAATATGTATTACAAGTCCAATGGATAGAAAAATAAAACAACATATTTTCCTTTGAATGATTCTAATGAAATTTCTTTAAACTCTCCATTGACAACAGCAGTACCCTTGAATTTTGGGGCAGGTTGTTCAAGTGCCAACACCATTTTTTCTAAAAAAAAAATTAATAAACAATATTTAAGAATTAATATTGTTTTCAAAATTTAAAGTACCATCTTATAAAACTAAATAAGTTTTCTTTTATAATGTATGTAATATGTATGTTGGTAATTATAATCAAATATCAGATAAAAACATAGACCTTATACTAGTAGTCTTTCCTATATATTAAACATGTTTTCAGCTGTAATATAACATACTGAACATTTGATATTGTCAATAATGATGACAGGAACCTATGTTTGAATATACATGCATTATTTTATAAAATAATTATTTATTTATTACATGTCAATTTACATGTGTTGAAATGATTATAAAGAACTTAAAGCTGATATTTTTAAAAAGATAAAATATTATGAACTAAAAGAAAAAAAATGTTTGAACAATAAATAATTTAGATTACATTTTTAGCCTAATTAACTATTTTGTAATTTTACTACACTAGATTATCACAAATAAATAATATTAATTACTAATTACATTAAAACTGTAAATTGTTCTGATTATGATGTCATTAAACTAGATTTAAATTCTAATTTTCTTACAAACAGCACTGATAGCAAAATATGATTATGATTAATTAAAATAATTACTTCATTATTAATAACCTTAATATTAAGAAATAAAAACAAAATTACCTATTAAACAACCTAGTAGATAGAAATGTTCATATTTAAATAGATATAAGAATCTAATCTAGGTTTAAAATTTATTATTTGTACGATCAACCTAAAAGTAAAATGTCACAGTAAAATAAAATGTTCACAATTTTTTTTTTTTTTAATAAAGTATAATAGATGTATTAAATATTATGTACATTATGTACTTCATTCTATTTATTATTGGCATAAAAATTATGGTTTTAGAAAACTCTAATTACATTTTAATAGTAATAGTAATAATAATTAATATTTTAAACAAACATAAAATTATATGTATGGTTTGTTTTTTTTTCAACAATATTATTATCTATTACACAAACCTTTACTTAATATTTTAAAACATTTAAATTTTAAGTTATTTACTAAATTAGTACTCAAAACAATATATCATTGTAGTGAAGTATGATTCACTTGAGATAATATCATAAAACCTATGTCATATCGACATCAGTAGACAGTTATTTATTTATTTAATAATAATAATCAATGTGAACCAAGATAAACAGGGATATATTAACGTTAATGTTGACAATAATTATTATAAAAGATCAAAATGTCAAACTAGAATGAAAAAAAATTATTATAAACCAAATAAGACTATGAGTGAATAATATATTGAGGATGCATAAATACATGATAATTATTGCACAATATGTGTACACAAGCACGAAAAGTTGATTTGCATAAGAAAACGAGTCGATCGATGTCGCGTTTTGCGGCGGTGGTAGGTGCCTACCTAGATAGATGCCTATCTAGTGTGTGAAATAGAATAGATGATCGGAAAAACTATTTACGAATAACGGGAAAACAAACGCGCCAGAGTCGAGTCGCGCCCGAACAGAGATACATTATGATACAATAACAATTATCGCAACAGAAACGGCGGTAATAGAACGTATAACCTAAAACGTGCTTAGCCGACAACATGTCGGCGTCGCTGTTGCGCAATCGGTCCGGCATAACCGATAATGGGAAAACATGCGATTCAAGCGATCGCCATCGCGGACTCGGAGCCCCGGAGATGGCGAAATATAAAAGTAGGATCGTCATATTTACCTGCGGTTTTTGTTGCAACGAAACAAACGTGGAAATCGACAAAAAAAAGTGTCTGCGTCAGGACGAGCGACGTGTACGTGTAGCGGAACGGACGCCGGCGAAACGAATGACTAGCAGTACGAACACTACGAATACGTTCGAAACCACCGGAATGCGGATCGTGTACGACCGATTACAATATTACGGGTGCTGTTGGTGACGTCCGTGATTGTAAGAGCCTGCTCGTGCGTAAGTCGCACACTCGCGCCGCCCGGTGCTCACCGGGCTGCGTAAGTATGTTGGACACGGAATATCGACTGTCCAATCAACCGGTTAGAAGTTGTGTCCGCGACACGTCGGCGGGCGTCGCGGGGTATGGGTGTCAGACAATATTATTGGATTACCGCGACCGCCGAGGCGCTGAACCGCGGTTGTGTTAACACCGTACCGTACGAACACTACGAACTGCGAACGATAATAAATTAATAATATTATCTACCTAATACCTACTATTATAGGCGTAATTTCGGAACGATCTGGAACTTCTGGCAAGCAAACGCGCCGGTCTCCGATGTAGCGATATCGGTTTGACAAAATATTACGTATATTACCATTTACAACATACGATAATTATTTACGTTGCCATTGAAATTTAATACATTCATAAAAAATTCATACTAGGTAGTACTTCTGTGCAAGAGTGGACTGGCAAAATGAGACACCCGGAAAAATCCCGGAGACCCGTTGCAATAACATTAAATGACCCGAAAATATTTTTGGAATTAAAAATATAGTACATAAAACAACATAATAATATAATATATTAATTATTAATGCATAAACAAGTATAATATAGATTATCTGCTCATGTGATTTTAATTTTCAAGTATCGAAATAATCGATAATTTAATACCTACTTAAAAAGTATTATGAAGTGATCAAATTTATTATCTCGACTAGTTATTTTATATTTCGTTCAGACATTGTATACGATATAGTAGGTATGTACGAAATACACATACAGATAATAATATATGGGCGTATAGTCTTTATAGTGATTTATTTATAAGCTAATTATTATTTTTTATACTCGTAATAATTAATGATAACGGCACCACACACAAGTGCTCCTGTGTTTTTTTTTTTTTTATTGACTTGTGGAATGAAACTATAATATTATTATAGACAAATTCGAGGAAACTATGAAAAATAGTAATGTCATGAAAAAAAAACCAAATAATGTGAAAAAAACAGAACTAAGTTAATCTTTATATGGGTATACCCTTAGTCGACTATAATAGTACATTAAAATGTGTACATCTTAACATAATAATATGTCAATGTATGATGTATGTATTGAATATCTGTATTAAATGTTGAACATATTTTTCTGAATAATAAAGCTTGTTTTCATAATTTTTATATTTTTCACATATTTTGACCAAATTATTTTTCCTTTGTTAATTTTTGGTCTGGCAAAGAAAAAATCTCGACCTGAAATATTGACTCAGTCCGTCCCTACTTCTGTGTAAGGTACTAATTTGTTACGGATAAATGCTAAATAATAAAATTACTATTACTATCAAGAAATACAATATTTTATCAAATTTAATCTGCCCATTGTTTTATATTGCCTTATTTATACACATAAAATTTATCTTATTTTTTTAATTTAATTTAGCTAATATTATTATTATATAGTTTAAAATTTTTAAAGTTATGAATATTATAAAAATATTCTTATAGATTTATTATATTGAATTAAATTTAGTTTACCACGTCGCACTATTTCCTTAATTTTTATACTGATGATTTTTTTCTAACTACAATAATTGTTATAGAGTTGACAAATATGAAATGAGTAATGATAATAATTGGGCAATTTGAATGCAATTCAAAAATTATGAAAAATTATTTCAAACTATATGATAATATTATTTCTTATAAATTAGTAGTGAAGTAGTGTAAAGTTCCACGTGGAAAAATTAAAGCGTTGTCGATTTATGGGTACCTACATATATAATTTTATCGTAATTTGAACTTTTTAACTTTGCCTAACGTCCATATAAAATAAAAATTGTGTTCGTTTATTTATTTTTTTTTTTTAATTCCAGTATAAATATAATGTATGAGAATCATTGAATTAAATTTTAAACCTTTGAGCTTTAAAAATTAAAGATTTTACAAATTTTCTACTACAAAATATTCAATTAAAAGAATTATTTTTTATCGACATTTATAGAAAAAAATTATTATCCTAATAAATACCTCAAAAAGAATCAATATTTTGAAAATTATGTCATGTAAGAAAATTATACCTATTATAAACATTTGGTGTAAATTTTAAAGATTTGCAGTAATTTTATTTGGAGTTTCAATAAAAACATCAACTGTTTGAGCAGAAATTATTATATGAGGGTAAATATCCTATGTAAATTTAAACTTCAGTCATAAAAAATAAATTTTTCTTTCGGTAGAATTCATTTTTGTTATATTTTGTAAGCTATAAAGAACATTATACTAATTTTTCGAAACCTTGGTATAAACGTAAAAATGTTCATACATTTTTTATCTAGAAATGAACAACCTATTAGGAAACTTGTATTCAATTTTCAAACATTTTTACCTATTCAATAATTGTTATCGTCATGTATATAAACAAATAAAAACTAAAAAATGGTAATTATCTAAAAAGAGCTCAAAAATGTCAAATTATTTTGATTATTTGTACATAAATATTAAATAAAAAATATATAATACGTATTATGAAAATTTCAAGTTTTTACGGATACTTATTTTTAAATTAACAATATCATAAATACAATATTATAAATTATTAAACCTTATAAGTTATATTAATATAATTTTATTATTTTTTTTGCATAGTGATATTAATTAGCAACTAACTATAAAATGTATTTTGAGACTTTTTTTTATAAACTTATAAAATATAAATGATTAAATATTAAAATATGAATGTATTGACAAGAGTCAGAAGCTGAATTTTAATCCTTTTTTAACTTTATCTTAATAATAATGTTAATCAATTTTTATTATTAATCAGAATAATAATTATAGTCACATATTTTATATCGTAACTTGTAAGCATATCTTTATTGTATATTATTTAATGGTAATCTATCTTAAATAACTTAAAATGTCCGTATACCTACTTATAATTTATATTAATGTATACAGTATACTGTATAGTATAACTGCTTTACGCATGTTCTAAATAAAATGTATGACTTCCCTGGACCGTCTTGCTAAGCTCTGACTACGTCTCTGAATGTACTTAGTAATATAAACTGACAGACATGCAATTTAGAATCGTTTTTCATGTACAATAATTTATTTTATACAACAGAGCAGTACCCACTTACCCATATTTTTATTTTTAATTAAAATATCCAACAATTTTGTTTTTACTCTCCTGCAGTGTCAGTAACTTAGAGAAAATATAATTTGGTTATGATATATATAATACATACTATAGAGTATTTAACTATTAAATTAGATATAAATATACCTATATAAGTGCTAGGACTGTATGTAAGTTATGAATACAAAATTGAAAACTGTTTTCAAAATTCTTTTACATTTTAATGTTAAGACTCAAGATTAAAATAAACGTTTAAAGTTTCTAACAGTATTACAGTAATGATTCGTGATTAATGAGGCCTCTTAGATACCCAGTTAAGTAATTGAATTGTATTGATGTCACGACGTTAAAAAAAGTTCTTTTTTTATTATATCGGTGTTTGGTAAATAATGTGTTTCGTAATAATTGCTACAAGCAACCAAGGAAACAAATTAGATAAAATTGCAATTACCAAGATAAATTAATGAAAAACAAATTAATCTACCATTACATTCATCGACTGACTTAGTGATTATTTTTCTGCATTTAAATAAATCTATAAAGCTTAAATCGGTAAAATAATAAAATGTATTTACAGCTAATTATGACCATGCTGGAATTTATTTAGTTAGCCTAATGCATATTATACATGCCTATTTCCTATAATGCCCGTTCCTTACTTCTCAGTCAACAGGTCGGTGTAAACAATATACAGTAGAGCCTCGATAGTCGGGATCCTTGATAATTCGGTAAAGTAAGAACGCGGTAATCCGGACGGCATAAATCCATAAAATTCATAAATAAATACATTTGACATAAACAATACATTTTTCATGTAAATACATATTTTGTATTTTGTTTGGGATTCTTTAAAAGAAAAATACTGACTATTATACTTAAGTTCTATTATTATAAACATTTTTTTTTTTTTTTGTATTCATTATGTTAAAGTTATTTATTATTTTTGTAATTTAAAGTTAAAGTGCATTAAATATAGATACAGGTGGTGAAATTTAAGATAAAAATCTTAGTCTTTTGAGTAGGTAATCTTAAAAACCCTTGTGTAGTCCGGACGAACATCAAGTTTGAATTCGTCCGGACTATCGAGGCTCCACTGTAATAGATAAGTACCTTCTTAATACAGTAATACATTCATTAATTAATAGCTCATAAACATTAGTATTTGATATTAGATCGTTGGAGCTTTTCATAATAAAATAGGTACCGTCGTCCGTCTATATATTAGAATGTTAAGAAAACGAATGATAGTTTTTGACAGATATTTAAATATGCCACTAAACATTCATACATCATTAATAATTATAATAATTATTACGACGGTCCAATTAGGATTATAGTCCGCTTATCTAACGAGTAAAAGGTGTTAATAGTCCATTGGTCCATTTATATCAAATTTAATAATAATTAAAATGTTTAACAATATATCGTTGTAACTAATAACTACAGTAATAAACAGTAGTATGAAATGTTTTATTTTTATTTTTTAATCTGTAATACCGTTGTCAATATCGTATTTTCGTGATAATAGTCATTAAAAAATATATAATAATATTATATTTTATCGTTATAAGTTATAATATTACTGTGATTTTTCAGCTGCAGCTGCTCCACCGCGCCACCACTACAATTTATCCTGTGGCTCCCCCAATCATAGTGTGGTAGGATTTATCAAGCGATTATACGAAAAATTCTTTACTGCGTCTTAATACATTACCAGGCATGCGCAGTAACGATACCTCATCATATTTGTGTTTCTCGGAATAAAAATCGGCTACCTCCGTGGCGCCGTCATCACAGTTTAGGCGATGATGATAATGATGATAGTAATAATAATACAATAACTGAACGTCAGAACGCGCTATAATGCCATATTGACGATTGTTTTTTTCTTCGTACTTCGTGGTTCGTGCATTATCTGTGGACTCTGTCGGCGACTAACGCATCCGATTTGTCGTTCCCTTTCATTTTTTTCGTTTAAGTTTTCTCCGCCTCATTCGGCTTTTGCGTGTTTGCACCAGTTGTGAAGACCAAAGGACAACGGTATTGTACCGGCATCGAACACCATGGAAGGCAGTGAACATACCCGTTTCGTTTTCGACTTACTGGACGATATACACGAACACATTGTTGCGAAAACCACTGGTACCTTTATTATTATTATCATTATACTTAGTTGGTAGGTACGTGAGGGTCATGAGTCAAATCCTTTAAGAGGACGCCGCACCCACATGTGTTGTCGCCGTCCTACATACATACAACATAGCAAATTTTCGTTCAACAGAATCCATTTTATGTTGTTAGCTTTAACATTAGAGTAAATGTACTTATTATCAAACTTAAAGGTAAGAATTTTATCTTATAGGCTTTTATTGATATTGTAATTTTAAACTCGGTTATAGCTATATAAAATATTGAAACTTTAAAATGCTCATTACAAATATTTACAAAAGCACATGTCATTGCCTTGATAAAATTCTTACCTTTAAGTTTGATAATAAGTAAATTTACTCTAATGTTAAAGCTAACAACATAAAATGGGATTTTGCTGAACAAAAATTTGCTATATTGTATGTATATAAGACGGAAATAACACATCTGGGTGCAGTGTCCTCTTGGAGACACCAACATTGATCAATCGCCCTGCTATTTACATCAATTGTACCACTTCGATTTAACATGAACATATGCATCATCGTACGTACCCATGGAATCTAATTGAAATCGTTTTCGAAAAAGTTTTGTTCGCATTATTATACTCAATGTTCCTCTGAGTTGTATTTCAGAAACCAAACAATGGCCGTTAGCCCATAAATAATGCATTCATTAAGAATTTATAATAATTAAAGACTGGAATTTTATGCAATTGCGTGTTCGTACTGAGTATATACACTCATACGAGGGTTTGAAATGTGGGCGATTCAGACCCAACTGATTCCATTGACCAAATTTAATTTTGCATATAATGGCATATTTGAAGGGTTGAGGCATATTTTTTCATAAGTGCATATAATGTGCAAATTTTTTACAATTTTAGTAAATAATTAAATAATTTCTTTTTTTTTTATTTTGGAAATTGTAATTTTTAAATACTGGCGAAAAAAAATTACCTTCAACACAGTATAGAATTTTATCTTTTCTAATTCAATATCGTGTTGATATACTATTATCTGATAAATTAAATTATTTTTAAAGTTACTTCTTAAAGTTGTGAAAAAATTTAGCATTCATTTATTAGCAATATTGCAAATTTTGTTAGATTCTATTTGTTTAAACTTTTTTTAAACATATAATGATGTTTTTTTTTATATTTAAATATGTTGATATACTTAGATGTAGAAAGATTCAACACTCCTAGTTTTGTTATATTTATTTGTTTTATTTGTTCTAATGTGTGTAGCTGTTTAAAATAATATAGATTTATGATGCATATTTGTATCATATTTACCACATTATTAGTGCGTATAATTTCGGTCTCTAATATTGATATATCAAATAGTTAGGTTTAATGTAAGAGAACAAATACCTATACTATTTCTGTCATATAATTTCTAATATTACATACCAGTGTACTATGTTTATTATTATTTTGATTATTATGTTTACTCATTTATAAATACTCGTATCCTTAGTTTAACTTTTGTTAACTGATTTTACATAGCCAGTCTATACATTGTTCATTTGTAAAGTAGGTACATCATGTTTTTGGTATAAATATATATCACTAAATCTTAAAAGTTGTTAGAGATAGAATACCTTATATTATGGAAATAAAAAACAAAATGCTTTGAAGACATTTTGGATATGTTTTATTTTAATAAAAACTTTCTTATTTATTTAAAATACAATATAGGTATATAATCTATACAATTAAGTATAATTAGTGAGTTTGATGAATTTTACAATGACAACTAAACAATACATGAAAAGGAAGGCTCCCAACAGTGTTGTCTGACAAGTTAAATAAAATATTGTTATGCTTTTAGTGAGTCCCTGAGCCATTGCTATTTAATCTTCTAGGAAAAGGAGTGGCAATGGATAGTCTTTTTATTAATGGATCACGATGAGAATGAAGCTTTGAATAAAATTTGATGTAATGAGATTTGGCCAGGTCGTTGAAGGTTGGTAGGTTCAGGGCTTTATGAAGATTTTTGTTGGTTACATATCAAGGGGCCGAGGTTATTAAGTGAAGACAAATAGATTGAAATTCCTGGAGGGTTCTGGTAATTAATGGCTTTGCTAATCCCAAAGTTAGATGTCATTGAGCCACACCATATAGATTATTGATTTATATAATGTGAGTTTATCAGTTAAGGAGAGTTAATTTTAGAAGGGGTCTCAAAAGATGCAGTCTAGAGTTGTTTACAGATTTTCATTTTTATTTTAACTGTGAGTTTTAGTTAAGATATTTATCAGATGTTAACCCTAGCTACTTAACTTTATTTTCTGATGGAATTACTGTGTTATTGAACGTGACAGGTGGGCAATCAGATTTGCATATTTGTTTTTATAGATTTTTATATTCCTCCGATTTGTCCATAAGTTTGTTATATTTAATAAAAACTTACTCTTGTTAAAAAATAAAGATTGTCATTTCTTATGTATGTAAAAAATAACAATTATAATAATAATATGGGATCATCTGTTAGTTACATTGAGTTGGTATTTAAATATAATACATTTAAAAATTGAAATTAAATTTCAACAAAAAAAATAAAAAACAATTATTTTCTATGCCTCAAAAAAATGCATACATCTCTTGCTTTGATACAACTTCACACCTCTGTTTGAAGTCTACATCTCCCTCCCCCATAGTTGGGAAACTATTGTACAGCTGTTATCAAAAACTGAAATGAACCTATAAAATCTAGTATGTTTTTTATTGAGGATGCACGAGAATAAATGAGTTTCAATTCACCATCATATGTGGTATTCTTCTTTAGCATAGAATATACTTAAAAAATTTAAAATAATGTTTTAAAATTTTTATAAAAATATAAATATTGTTGTATACTTGGTAGCATTCAAATGTATTAATACATTTTCTAATATTTTTTTTTTTTTTAGGTTCAATTAGCTACCTTACTGTACCAGAAATTAGAAGTATAGTTTATGATAATATAAGTTCAAAAAATTATAAATACACTGAACATGGCAGAATATTTCATTTTATTTTATATTTGAACACCGAATGGGAAAATTGTAATTGGATTAAAGAAGATACATTGCTAAACCTCAAACAATATATACATGACAAACCCCTCTCTTATAATGTTTACTATATAATTGTTGATATCACAGATTTACAGACATTTATGTTCGAAACTATTATGTGTACTCCTTACAGTTTTTGTAGCGATTTAATTGAAATTAATTTGAATAAAATAAAATTTATGGATGGACTTTCACAACTAGTTTATACTGAAAAGCTAATTGTCGCTTTGATGAAATCTTTTAAACGTACGCCACTAAAATCTGATTTAGAAAGTTCTGCTATCAGCCATTTCAATCAAGCCATGGTAGTATTTGGCAAGGATAATTTACCTCATGATATAAGGAGACTTGATTTTGAAGACGAACAAAAAGAAATAACAAAGTATAATGGATTTCGAGTGAAAAGTATATTTAGCATTTTTGTAGAGTTGGTTAAATTCAAAAGTATTTCTGATACTTACATACTGTATCCGATGTATAAATTAGAATCATTACGTTCATCAGTTCCATTAACAGATAATGAACATATGTTTAAAAAATTGTTTGATATAATTATGTACAAGTGTATGAATTTGAGCAATTTTAGCATTGATACTTGGCTTGCTTGGTATGAAGTGGAAGTTGTTGAAGAAGACACTAATCTACAAGCAACCATTGGACATCTGTGTTATGAATTATGTAGTTTAATGGATAATGGAACTATTACTGATGAACCTTTATTAAAAGAATTCAAGCCAATTCTACGTAATATAGCCATAGAAAAGATTAATTTTAATGATGTTGATACTGATGACATTGATACAATTACTAAACTTGTAGAGAATTCTTCTAAATTTCATCTCAACGGTTGGATGAAAAGAATGTTACAAAATCCAGTTGCTTTTCAATATGACCGTGTTGTTCAAGTAACTTGCAATTACATAGACTGTGTTGATTACAACTGCTTCAAAACTATTCTAGAAAATGCTATAATTTATAGTAGAATTAAAAGGGAAGATGAAGTGCCAGAAGTTTTGTCAAATGCATTATTAAAAGGAATCAAACATTTAGATGTAGAAGATAAATGGTCTATTTTAAAACAAGTTCTCTGGAACCATGCTGATTATGACTTTCATGTATCAAATAATTTTGATGAACAATTACATTATGTTGTCCACAATGAATATAATGACGATGTTGATCAACAAGTAAGTCTTTCAAATTAATTGAAGAAAAGAATAAATACTTTTATTAATATAAAATTTAAATTTAGATTTTGTTATTTTATTAAAATTTCACTATTTATAGGAATTAATGTCCATTTTAATTTGGCTAATAATACAACGACCAAGAAAAATGATGAATTTATTAATAGCACAATATATAACTGGTATTTGTGGTTTAAATGCTAAAGAATGCGATGCTAAGAAATCATGTTTATACCAAGGGTTGGTTAGTGTTCATGTAGACGTGCATCCTTCTATAATTTCTGAAGAATATAGGGATTGGTTGTTTGGATCCAGAAGATTTTCAAATGAAAAACGTCAACGTATTCATCAATGGGTATGTTTATTTTTATGTTTTATCCAGGATAAAAGTGAACCACTCAGCTGACTAAAATTAATTATAGTATCACGTTCTTACCCATTGACACATCTCACCTCAAGGGTATGCAAGATGTATAAACTATTGACTGGTGATTGCTAGCAAACACAGTTGATTAATAACTAATATTCTTATTGTGTGTGATCTAGTGCATTGCTCCTCAAACTAGGAGCTGTGGCTACATGACTGGTGAACTGTGAAATATTTATTTTTTTTTTTAAATATTTTTGGTTATTTAGTTATTATGTCATTTTAGTATATAATTCAGAAAAAATATTAAATTATTTTGAATAAGAAGACCTTGACAGTTTCACATTAAATTTAGAAGGTCCCATGACAAAATAGTTTGATAAACACTGGTCTACTGCATACTTGTCATCTGTCATACACATTTTCTATTTTTCATGGGGTTACATATTTATTGCCTTCTGTACATCTACAGTTATTTCTAACGATTTAGCAGTGATGACAATTGAGCTTAATATTTACTATGTAACTTCTATATTAATAATATAAAACTTGGGTCTAGCAATAATTGTGAGTGTAGTCATACATGTTTGATATATTCAGTTTAATTCATGCTATAACACAATTTAAATGTTTTTTAAAGACTGAAAATTATATATTACCTAATGTAAATAAAAGCAAAAATTTTTTTTTTATTTTTAATATCTATTAGCATACAATATAATACTTATTTGATTTAAGATTAGATTGTGATATGTTTTTAGAATTATTATTAATTATATATGATTTTAAATTCATATATTTATTTATATTTTAAGTATAAATACTATGTGGTAGACCACATATAACATGTAGAAATGTATAGCAGACTGCAAATGATAAGAATATCATAAAACTTAGTTTTTGTCTAAAGGGCTAATGGTATGTAGGTCAGTACATTAGCAAGTGTTCACTCTTATCTTGAATAAAACATAGTTCATAATATATTTAAAAGTACAATAATAATATATTTGTGTTATAAACATTGTTTATACAGGTTATAGAAGTTATCAAGACGCTACATTTAATTAAAGCATCAGCATTTCTTTCAGATATCATAACACCTCTCCTAAACCCTACAAATAATCATAATTATATGTTTTTTTTGATAAATTTAACTAAAGTGAGTATTTATTTTTATTTTTTTTTTGTAATTAAAAATTAATTATTTAAAACACATTATTTTGGTAGTATGTTGTGGAAGAATGTCAAGTTCTATCAGTTTGCTACTTAGACAACTGGGATGAAATAATTATATGTATGGCTAAGCTAATGGAAAATATTCGTTGGAACATTCACAATTATTCAACTGTTAGAGCTGATTTGTGTGATCTAATAATTTTAACTGTACAGCCTATTATGCAAAATGCTTCACAATTTAATACACGTAATTTAGGTAAGTTTTGTATAATATAGTTTATAATATCATAAAGATATTAATTTAATGATTTAAACATTCACATTATTTTATATAATATAAATTATAATGATCTTTTTTTATAGTTAAGTCAAAACAATTGGAAAGTCTTCAACAAGGTTTATCAGATTTACATTTAATGAATCGTTCTCATTTCTCACATATGTGGTTGCCTGATAATATTACAGTAGATGGAATGGATGAACAATTCATTATGACCGTGCATTCAGAGAATTATATTTCATACTCCAATTTAAATAGATCATCAACTCAAAAAGCCCAAGAAGAATTTATTTTTAGCATTGCAACAGTAATTTTCTTTTTAAAAAATTAATTATATTAGTTTTAAACCATTATTGAATAAAATAACTTAAATTTAAAAATCAATCATTTAATTCATTTTTAATAATATATATATTTGTGATAATTAATTTTATAGAATAGTATACAATTATCAAGATTTATGTATTGTAATGCAAAATATCGAACTGATAGTTTTTAAATGCTATATAGCCTCAAATAACTTATCAATATATATCTTTTAAAAATGAGATTATCCTATTTAACTGGTTAAACAAAATATTTTATTATTTAATTAGTTATATTATACTTATTTAAAATTAGGTAAATATTTTTAGTTGCTTGCAAAAAACCATAATTATATAAATATAGATAGTTCTAAGTTTAATTATATACTGTAATCGTTAAGATTAGGATTTGTATGCATTAGTATGTTTTGTTTTTCTTTTGCAACGTCCCTTTACTAATTAGATTACTCAATAAATTGTCTGATATTGATACATAGTATGAACTTTTTTTTAAATGTTTTTGTATATTTTAATTGTAAAGTATGTTACTTAAAGACTGTGTATCATGTTTGTATTATACTCTTAATTTCAATTTCATAAAATTATTAATATTTTTTAACAAAAATGTGTTGAATATAGTAAGCATTTATTTAAAAGCAAAACCAGCAAAAATGGTTAACTTAAAATGTAACTACTTGATTTAATCTATTAAAAAAAATTAAAATGCTTCTCTTCGCTTAATTTAAAAATTATTGTTAAATTGTATATTTTATTTTATTTTTATCATGTTAAAGTTAGCATATTCTTAATAAAATGCATTTTTCACTATTTTGCATTGCATATAAACCCTAGCTTTAACTAATTAATTTCATAAAACTTCTTTATATTTTTTTAGCAACTGTTTATATAAAGTATTTTGCTTTTATATTAATTTGCTTATATTTATATATATTATTCATTATGTGTATTTTTATTAAAGTCTATCATTTTTATTACTATAGTTTTTGCCGAAGTTCACACAATATGAAATTAATTCTTTCGTGACAAATTACTTAAGTTCGGCCAAACCAGAAAACATTGTTGATGCATCATTTTTCTTATTGGACTGTGTGATCAATTCTTTGATGAGAATTATCGTTTACTTGAAAACTGCTATACGAAAGGAACCTTTCAATAACACGTGTGAGCGACACTATTTAAGTCGTGTTATCTTTGAATTTCTTTCAGTTATAAATGTAAGTATTTTTTATTTATTTTATATCTATAATGTGTATAAATGTAATTCATTAGTCCACCTTGTACAATTTGAATAATATTTTGGTATAAAAATAATAATTACTGGACCATTAACATTGTTATACATATTTATTCTTATTAAAAATTGTATATATTTGTTAATTTAACTCAATTAAAATATAAAGGAGTAATAATGTTATAAATTTGTGATATTACAACATCAACAATATCTTGATATTTGATACATTGAGTATTAAAGAATAGGATTATCCCATTACCTTATTTATGGAATTTTTGAATAAATAAATATTAATATACGGAAAAATATTGAAACTAGTTATTTTAATATAATATAGTAATTCAATACTACTATTATTTTTTTCTGTTGTTAAAATTTATTTTGCTCAACAAAGTAATACATTTAATATTTATTATTTAATTTAATACATATGACACTAATATACAATTATAATTTTTATGTGACAATTTTTTCAGTTCATAATATAATTCTTATTATTAAACTAACAAAATATTTTATCTTTAGGTAACAAAAATGAGTTGTATTTATGGAGAAGATGTCGATGTTAGCTTGGTTGTTAACAGTGTGGCTAAAATTATCATGGTTGTAAAACAGCTTGGCGATAAAGATGTAAAATGTTTAGTAACCCTTTTTCGTCGCCTAATTGAAATATCACAAACACGGATGAGTGTAGAAGAAATTTCAAAAATTTTGTCTCTGTTAAGTTCTATAAAAAATGAAATGCATGAAGAATTAATTAAAACTACTATGCAAGGATTGATGAGTAATCTTTTAATCAAAAAATCACATGATCAAGATTAAGATTTGTAAATGTAAATAATAGGTACTTCATTTTTTGTACTCTTTTTAATATAAACATACATTATGAATGAGTTGAAAAATTTAATATTTTAATATTAAATGTTAATTTTCAATTATTCTTACATATATTTATTGTTTCGCAGGTTTATAGTTAATTATTATTATTTTGAATTAATAATTTGTTTTCCTAATTAGTTAGATCTCATTAATAAGATTACTAATAAGGGTTGGCAATGAGTTAGGTTATTATAAATTTAATAACAATAAATGAAAAGTCTCATTACAAAAAATTTCATATTAAGTTGAATATGTTATTATAACAAAATCTTAAAATATTCCTGTCTTATATACTTAGTTAAATATATAATTAAAAATATTGGGTTACAGCTTGTATATGATCATCATTTTTAAATATGTATGAAATTATATTAAAGTAACTCATTCCATTAAATGTTTAAGAATTTTGTTTATTATATGTGTAATATATTTCTATATATACACACTGAAAATTATATTAATTTTAATGTGTTCTGACTGATTATTGTCATTTATACTATTACTTTTTTAATATAAGATTTGTCATATTTTTACGTTTTTATATGTTATTGAATTATTTGGCATTTCATTTATTGTGTTATAAATTTCCTGTGTTAAGTTCCTGTATTATTATCACCAGTTTAAATTTAATAAATTAAATATTATGTATTTTAAATGACTTCTTAAACTATGAAAATTACAGAATAGGAACTGTACAATTGTTTATTAAACACTAGTATATATTATATAAATAGTCCATTGTTTGTTAATTAAATAATATTGTCAATATTTATTTTAATCTATACTTTATTTTTATTTTATAATTAATTATTGTATCAAATTTTGCTAATTAATAATAATGGCCATAGCCTATTACAAAATTAACCAACTTCACATTTATTTTTAATATGATCTTTTGTTCATAGAAATACATTTTATTAATATACTATCAACATTTTGTCGTAGTCATACAAAATTAAGAATTTTATATTTATAATGAATGTTTTTATTATACTTTCAATATAAAAGATAAATAGCAAAAATATTTACACTAAAACATGCTTGCTAGGAAGAAAATCAATTTTAAATTTGTAAAACTACATTATTATATCATAATTTGTTTATAAGCATACTAATTGTATGAGTTGTAAATGTTAATATTCTTGATGATATTACTTTTTTTCTTTTGTATTGCTTATAAGATCACATATATAATTTAGAGTATAATCTATTATAAACAATATGCATCTGTATGCTATTTATTAAGGTAATAATAATTTATTTGAAGCAGAATTTTATAATTCATTATTGTATATCAATCCAGCAAAAAATAAATTAAGTTTAACTTGTATCTATTTACAATCATATGTATCTTAAGTGATAATTCTTAAAGTTTTCATTTGAGCATTAATTACAAAAAATGAAATAAATGATAAAAAGTAATAAATAATATATATTATTAATAACAATTATTTTTCTGTATGCATTAGAATATCAATTCTTGAGTTATTGTGGTATTTAGAATTTTTACTTTTGAACCTTTAAAATTGAAAGTTTAAGCTTTTTAAAACATGATGACAGATAGGAAAAAAATTATACTGTAAAATCATTATGTACATCGCCATACTCAGGACCTAAAAGTATCTTATTTTTTCAAAAATTTACAGCATGTAACTTAATATAAATAAAACAAAAAGTATTATTAAATATTATATAACATTTTTTGTATAATTTTACCTGAGCATGTCGAAATTGATGTGAAATGTTTATTATGCTACTATTATAGAAGATTAAATAAAATTCATTATTTGTTACAACATTTAATATATTGTATAATCAAATTTCCTCTGTATTAGAATTGTTAAGTATAAAATAAAGTGTTTTATCTAACTATTTTAATGTTTTATTTTAAACATCATCATTTTTTAAAGCTTTTTTATGAGTGTGTTTTTAACACATTTTTAAAATAATTGAGTTGATATAAAAATTATGGAATATGTTATACTATGTATTTTTTAAATATATCTAGGAAGTTAGAAATAAATTAATATATTCAGTATGAGGTGTATAATATGTACTGACAAGAATTATATTTAATCAACTTTGACAGTGGTGAATCTTATAAATATAATTCTAAGATATGTAATAAATAATAAGTGCAACTAAAAAATGACTTGACTTACTTTTATAGTGACTAAGCTTGATTTTAATTTTTAAGATAAAAACAACACTGTACTTTTTAATACCAAAACTTTATATTATGTAATATTCAAATAATTTTAACGTATTTTTTATAGTGTGTGTACTGTGGAGAGCATAATTATTACTCTATTTATAATTACAGTATTCACTATCTTTATACTATATCTAAATCATTTACTAACCATTTTTATCGTAGAAAATATTTGTTGTTTACATAGAAATAAATAAAATAAATAGTTTTAATAAATAAAACTGTATTATATGTGACATTAGTCATTTAAAACTTTATTTAATGTTAAATTGTTATTTATCATCTTATGACTCAGTCGATAGAGCAAGTGCATTACCTACAGTGATAATCAGAGCTCAGGACTTAATACATTTGAATACATATAAAAAAAAATACACATTTGTTAACCATTTGTGATATAACTATTTCAAATTTCACAATGCTTATAGCATATTTTAGGGGTTTTTTTTACATGCATAATTAATAATTTATTAATTGTTTTTAATGCATATTTAATAATTATTTTATTTAATTAATAAGAAAAATAAAATGTATTAATTACCCATGTAAAATTTTAATGTTTGATGCATTGTAAAAATATCATTTAGAAAACCTTGTTCATCCTAAATTTTTTTTTTTTATCTATATGACCGAAAAAAGGCCGATAAGTCAATAATCATTAGCATGACGACAATATTTTTATTTAGTTGATTTTTTACAGTATTATTTTGTTTTCCAGTATTCAGTGATCGTTTGACATTTTGCTGTCATCATGTAGTGTATATTACAATATATTACGGTATTTTAGATATAAGATATAAAATTATTTTTTATTTAATTTGTATTTATCTTTTTTAAATTAAAAATTAACACATTTTCATTATTTTAAGTGTATAAAATCTTCCAATTTTTAATTAACAGCCGATTGACGATGAGTGATATAGGTATCTACTTACTGATAATATACAAGTTGTCTCTCGTCTGTATATAAGCAGTGGATGATGATGATGCCCGACAGCAAAATGTATACACTTGTATTTTAGAAGTATCTTGGTTAATGTACGGCGTTTATCCATGTATAAGTCTCTCGTAAAAAATAGCATAATAGTGGTACCAATAGTTACGCTTTAATTTTATTAGTTCTCAAATGTAGGTATTTATAAACAAACGTGAGAAAATAATATAATTTTTTTATCAATATTTATAAAAAACAGATAGGTAAGAGGATTCAGCCTATTTCAATTATTTTTCTGTTATTCGTATTAAAAAAAAAAAAAAAAATTCAAAATTTATAATTTGTATTTTTATTTTGGTATGGCAAATAATTATAATAATAATGATAAATTTAAAAATATTTACTTGAATTTTTTTTTTTTTTAGTGTAGTTACAATAATTTTATATAATATTGAAAACTTGACATACATGAACGAACTAACCAATAAAGCTTATTTTTGATCTTTTAGTATTAAACTTTACTTAGGTTCTAATAAAGTAATAAGTATTTTTATAATGGAGTTGTGAGATGCGTATGCTTCAGGGAAAATACTACAAAAACATTATTGTAGACAGTATACATTTTGCACTGTACAAAATAATATTTTGTATTTGATGGTGTAAACGGAAACAAATTTACTTTTCGTAGAAATAAGGTAATTAGATACCTATTAAATGTATAAAAATAAAATAGTCGGAAGTACAACATATAAGGCGTGTTATTGATTTTTATTTTTTTAATTTATAGACACCAGTTAATTCATAGAATTTGTCGTTTGCGTTTTATTTTTTTGTTACCTATTTTCCTAAAATTTTTTTAGGTAAATATTATTATTACCTACCAATGATATTATTTATATTTCTGCAATTATTATTTTTTATGTTTTGTTTTAAATTTTTGTATTGTTAGCAATTTCCGATTTCAATATTTAATAAGCAAATTGAGTGTATTTGTATATACAGTCGTCACTCGTTAATTCGAACCTCGATGATTCGAAAAACTCCATAAATCGAACTAAACGCTAAGTCCCCTGAGAAAACCTCTATAATTAGAAGAAAATGCATGTATTTCCGGTCCCCTCAATAATTCGAAATGTCTGTCGGTTGGATACACTCTACAATTCGAATTTTTATTCCATGAACCTCTATAATTCGAATTTCCTTAAATGCGATTATATGTAAGTTCATATGTATGTACAATATACATACTTATAAAGATTATGTACAATCTAAAACAATACTAATAATGATGGTGGTTAAATATTATCGTAGTTGATAAACGTTATCGTACCTTACCTACCTAATCTAAACTTTTGTCAGGATTACGTCAATATTTTGAGTAATCTGAAATGAACGAAAAAAGATGCGTTACAATTTTCAATGCTATCAATAAGTTAGACAACGCTATGAACCAAATTGTGGCCACTGGCCTGCAATTTATCACAAAAAACAGATTTCTTTAATATGTAAAATATAATAATAAAATAAATAAATATCAATTAATAATTATAAAATATAATAATATGTAGGTATGTATGTATATTTTGTATAATAAATAGATGTCAAAATAAATGTAATAGGTATGTACACACATACAATAATTTTTCACCTCTCTTTGATTCGAATATTTCGAATTAATTATTTTCCCTCAATTATTCAAACACTCGGTAAATCTAAAACCTCTATAAATCGAAATTTTAACTTGGTCCCCTGAATTTCGAATTATCGAGTGATTACTGTATAAAAAAAAATATCTCTATTACATTACATTTGAAAGTATGCGTTAATTAAAATAGTATCCAATATCATTAATAATTAATGAAATAGGTTATAAGCACAAAAGCGTGTATATAAAAATGTAATAAGCAAACATAAATGTAACATGTTATATTTTATACCTGTCATATTTGAGTATGAACTAGAATTTAATGTAAAAAGATACTTAGTGGGTGATGTCTAATAAAACTTCAAGGGGGAGGAGGTGAAAAATCTACGATCAAATTACCAGCAATATTATGACTCGAAAAATTATTGTTTTTGTGCTCTTACCGAAGACAAATTGTTATACTTCAAAACTTAAAATATTCATTGTATAAAATTATCATTTATTTTTTATATTAATAACATATTAAAAATAATTTAATGAATTCTCGGGGCCTAGGGTGATGAGATAATGGCAATCACACTATATTCACTATTGTTTTAGCTTAAAGGCTGTTACCTGTTACTTATTATAATTTATAACAGGTCTGAAGTTTCCTTTACACTTACAATTATTATTATAATAAGACTTCATAATACATTTTGGTTTACCCACCCAATCAAAAATTTAATTATTTATTATTTAGTCTAAGGTTACTCGGTCAGTTATAATTTATGCAAATATCTGGAATTAATAATTTCGAATTCAAATACGTGTGTACATTTTGTAGTCTCGACTGGCGGGCGGGACAGCCAGACAGACATAAATTATTGGTTTCTGTATTACTATATTATTACTTTATACTATATTATACACAACATGTGAAATGCTCGCAGAGTACTGTAAGCTTCTAGGCAGGAACTAATCGTAAAAACGGAAGTTAGAAAATCTAGAGATCAGATTGGACAGTAGACACCTAAACCAATAAAATCCACCTAAGTACTATGTAGGCGTACAAATATGTATCAATGATCGTTGTAGAAAGTAGAAACGGACGAGCAGAATAATTATTACGGTCGAGTGGCTGCAAGTGTACAGGACGTTTGCCGCAAAATATCATGAATACACCTACATGGACACAAAGTGGCGGAGTTCCCGATGTATTTTTCTCCTTTTTTGCAATATCGTAGATCAGCGGTCGAGTTAAGAGGATAACGCTAATTTCACAAAAAGTAAAAAAAAAAAACCACCCGTTACTCAGCCTCCGTACACAGTTTTTGAGGAACGCTGTCTGTTTTCGCGTCTAGTCCTCGGATATCTTGGTTCGCGTCGCAGTAAATATAATAGTTTAATACTCACGTTTCTACAGATTTGTAGGACGCTACGCAAAACGAGCTCTGTCTTGTATTTTAATGTAAGTCAACAATGACACGGAAAATATGTGCTCGGCTTCGACGCGACGGTTCCGATAATAAATTATTGTACTACGCAGTACGCGGTAATTCATTAACGATGATCGTAGGACAAAACCAAATATAAGACATTTATAATAATAATTATTATTATTGTTATTATTTTTTTTTTTTTTTTTGAATTTCCGATTATTTATCAGACCTATATTTAATTTGATCTACACGGATTACCCGTAGAAAAACCCACGATAAAGACGTGGTCTGCAGTCTACGCTCTGCACAATTGTGTATATAATACGTACAAGGTACAACATGTTGTTATTGTGGATTTGTGGAGTGTACAGGCGTATTTATTCGACAGTCCGTGTTTTTATCTATAAATAAATACGCACTCGTTTGTAATTTTTTCTTTTATTTTTATATCGAATGAAGTAAAAAATATTTTCATTAAAATTAATTTTTTTTCCTTGCAGTAGATTTTATCTTGGTTTTTTTTTTTCGTTTAATAAAATCGTTCTTTTGGTTTTTGTTTTTTCCGGTTACCTCTGACCAATTACTACTTATCTCGTATTTTACTAGTACACAAACACAACTATCTATTGATTAATAATTATTGATTACCTATCTATCGCCCATGTCTATTGAATGGAACGTATATCAGGTACCTTCTATAAAACCTATTACCTACTTAATGAGAATTAGTTTTATAGTTTTATACCTATTATTATTATTATTTACAATATAGTGGTGATGTGTGTTTTTTTTTACTAAAAAAGCAGTGCTCTTTTAACAGTGGTATAAAGACACAAACGTCAAATAAAATCACAATGATAAATAATATAGATGTAAAAAATAATCAAATTTGAAATCTTAACCATTATCATTAACCTAATGTGAACACACACATTTCTATATAGTAAACTATTGAACTCGACTAAACGATATTGACGGTATGGGTAAGGTAATCAAAATTGAAACGATTGTTAACCACTAGAAAATCACGCGATTTGATCTATCTCGGTGCTGGAATATTTTTCAAGAAAACACGTTTCAAGGCGAGCTGTATAGGCGCCTTAAATCTAAAATGTAATTATAGGTAAATAATAACAGTAATACAATTGACTTAATTCTACAATTTTAAACAGTGCACACAGATGTCCGCTAAGCCATTAGCCAAGTATGCTTTTAGCATAAATTAAAAAAAAAAAAAATGTAATCGACACGTGCGTATTGTAAGCATTAAGTAAGTGATTAAATTATTGTAAATTGAGAACTTATACAATCTGTTAATATAAATATTAAATTACAAAAAACATAGGGGAAAATAATTATATTCAGTAGCTTGTAGACGTGAGGAAAGAACCATCCAATAATTGCACTTTAGCGTGAGTTGGTATAACTCTTTAATAAGGTATTATGAGTAGCTTTTGAATTTAGGATTATTAAGATTTTTGAATCTAGAGTATTGTAACTTAGCTGTTTCAATGAGTGAAGGATATGATTTGTATGGGGAAAATAATTAGTTAATTATAATTTAAAAATTAGATTTTCTACATGCATGCGTTAACTTTTATAAAATAACGGAGGATTATTGCTTAATACCCATGGAATCAAACTTCTTTGTTTACTAATTTTAGTATAATTTTTGAGTATTGGTCAATGAATTGCCTAGAGTACAAGACTCGAGTTTTAAAAGACCACATCTCATATTCTAGCACCAGTTTATAAACATTTAGCCTATTTGGTTTAGAAGTAAAAGTTCTTACTTAAAAGTCATTGGCACTCTATATTATTATCAGAGATGGGTGAAATATTATTTTAGGAAAGACGAAATTCACCTTTTTGTTTAAGATAATAGATGAAACTAAAATTATATAGATATTTTTTTTATTTTAACTTGAACAACATTCTGTTTTTATTTAAATGAAAGAAAAAATAAAAATAAAAGACAATTTTATTAATGAATTAACAAAATATTGAACTAATATTGATAATGAACATAAAAATAATTTACATCGCAATTGAGAAACAACATTGTTTATCTATCTTGATTCTTGATAATATTTTATCAGTCCTATTATAGTAGGCAGGTACTGGATACAGTCATGTACAATGTTTTAAATTATACAATAGTATAGATATAACTGTGTACACAAAGTTATATTTTATAATTTTTACTATTTAAGTTATAGATTAAATTTAAAAAATGTTATTCATAAATATAAATAAAGTACATTTTAACATTGATTATAGACATAGTGTTGTCAAGTAAAATCAATTTAATTATATTTAACAATACTCAGTTCTGTAGCCCTTGCTTACATAGGTGGCGACCACGGAGGGTATGTAAAATATGAATTTAATAAATATTCAACTTATATATTTGAATTATATTATTGACTTCTGGTGGTAGAGAATAAATAGTGGTTAATCAATAGTTTTGATAATAAATTATTTTTGAATACATATTGTTCAAATTTAAATCAAGTATAGGTGTCTGAAAATATACGCATTTTAAATAAAAACTAATTAAATTATAAATAAATGTTTAAAAATGATTAGCTTGATGAAATGTCGATTTTTTGTAATGCAACAGTACATATACTTATGAGCATTGTGAAGTTTATTTAAAATAAACTTGCAAAATTTGATTGAACTTTATACATCTTAAGAACAAATTCATGAAAGTCTACCACTTTACATCAAATATATTTTAACATATAGAAATACAATATATAAGGTACCTTCCTTAGGTCTTACAGTTGTATTTAATTGGTAAAACAATAGTAAGAATGAGGTAAAAATATATAAATTTTAAAATAAAACATTAACACTCACGTGTAAAGATCACAACAAAAATGTTTTATAAATATTATTTCAAACAAAAAGTACAAACACATCCATATTAAATAAAATTTTAACTTTTTGTACAGAAAAAAAAAACACGGAATATTATGATAATTTATTTAATAATTTAAAAAGAAAAACACTTCTAATGTAAGATATTTCACTAAAAATTCCTAAAAAAAAAAAATTGAAAATGTCACTTATACAACTTTTAATTATTTACACGTCTTGTAATATAAATTTTAAAATGATTGCTTATAAAATTAAAAGAAATTTATCAGCAGTACACTTAAAGTTGTTTATTTTTAATATTAATGATAAACTTTTTAGCAATTTATCAACATTTTTCAGTAAAATAATCATGGTGTAATAAGCAAATTATGAACACTGACAACAGTATTCATTTTACAATTGGAAATGCCATTAAATGAAGTTCCAAGTTATTCATTAAATAAAAAAAATAAACAATGACAATATTACACATACAAACCAAAAATATGCTTAAAAATAAGTACCAAAATTATTTTATCCAATTTTTTTAGATATATAAATACAATTTAATTTTGTTTAATACTATAAATTATAAGTAATCTTTCAACATAAATTTTGTATAAATTCTACATAAAAAAATGAAGAGTTTTCGTGATGGCCATTTGGCAAAGTACAATTAACATATATAAATTTCCAAATATTTACTACAATCTTTATTTAAAAAAATTATAAATAATTAAAAGGAAAGAAACAAAATAAGAATATGTTAACTACTGAGCACGGTTATAAAATATCAGTAGAAAGTCAATGCAAGTCTAAATGTTCTTCATTATAAAACCTGTAAGAAAACAAAAAAATAATTAATAAAATATAAAAAAAAAAAAAAAAAACACCTATCAATAAATGTTTAATTATATTTAATGTTTAATTGTATTCATAACAATAATTGCATAAGTATACACAGAGTAAAAAATAAAAATTATTTTATTTTTAACTTTTAAACTAATTTCAGTTCCCACTAAGAAAAATATTAGTAACTTTTGTTAAAAAATATAAATAGAAATGAATATACAAAATGAAAGTAAAATACTGTTACAGAAAAAGTAATTTAAAATTAACATTATTATATTATGAATTATTATTTTTTTTAACAACTTGCAGATTAAACAGTAATAAATATAAACATGATTTGTTAATACAATAATACTTTCAAGAAATTGATGATAAAAAGCACAGTTAAACTAAGCAATACATTCTTAGTATGTATTATATTATGATGTCAAATCTAAATAATATACAACTTGTTAAACTTAAGACGTTAAGAGAAAAAACTTGATAGGTAGGTACTCTGTAAAATAATTTATTATATATTTATTAGATGAGCAACAATAATTAAAATATTGACATTGGTTTTTATGCATAATTTATTGTATATAGGATAATATTTATTATTATTATAATTAACAAAAATATTATAATAAAGTTATGGTTGAGGTTGATATATAATAAACCGATAATAATTAATACGGTAAAACCTCTATTAATGGACACCTTTCAATTGTAGACCCTTCCCTATAGTGGATATTTTTAAATTTTCCAGCAAAAATGTATGCACATAAAATGAGTTATAATATAGGAGTTAGTAATGGACACTCCTAATAGTGGACGTGAACACTAAAAACTGATATCAAATTTAAAAATTACCTCTCATAAATAGACACAATACATGTACAATATCAAAAATGTTTAAATAATTTTTTAATTCCCCAAGACTGTTCACTATATAGAGATTTCACTGTAATATAAAATGACACAACATCTTGCAAATATAATATTTTGTTTAGAAAAACTAATATATATAATTTAGGAATTTGATTAAATAATAAGTGATAAACAAAAACAATATGGTAAGAAATTGGATCATATGATCCAAAATGATAATTGTTAAATGATAATTTTAATTATTATTTTTAAATTTACATTAAATACTCTCATATGTTTTTTTTGTTTATCGTCACTTTTTGAGGCAGTAAAAATGCTTAGATTTTAAACTTTCATTTTTTGTATTCAATGATAATCCATTGAAATCAAACACTTACCTTACACTTGATACCTACTAATGTAAAACAAAACATTTATCTTCTTTCTTTTTAAATTTATTTATTATTTTGTATGTGTTCCCTAAGGAACAATAAAAATGCTTAAATTTGCAACTTTAATATTGTTTCGGAAAGTACATCTAGTTGATACTTTGGATGATCAAAAATAAAAAAATATTTAAAAAACTTAATTATTTTTCAGTTATTTGATGGTAAAATTTAGTCGAAGTTATATATTTTTATGTTAATTAAATTGTTGTAGATTAAAAACATTAGTTGTAGAAAATAAGAACTTACACATATGTTATTAATTTTACTATACATAATGACATTTTCATAAGTAAATTAATTGTAAGATACCACCTATTTATAGTTTTATAATGCAAACTTCATATAATAATAAAATATCATGTAAATATATATTACTATAATAATTAAATATTAATAATACAGTAAAACTCGCTTAAGACGTTCTTTAAGGGACTAGCTTTCTAGAACGTTTTAAGCGAGAAAGCGTCTTATGCGGGAATGAAAACATAATGAAGTGATTGATATATGGAATTAATTGTTTTATTATTGTTTATTAAAAAAAATGATCTTTTTATGTTTGCTTACAATTTTAATGAATTTCAACAAGAAAGTTTTCTATTAAGTTAACACCACAACCCAACATTTCTTTGAAATTTTCTACTGAGGATAATATTTTTCGAATTTCAGATAGGTGTTTCAAACCATTTACAAAATCTCATAATATGATAGAGTACAGTAAAACTGTTAAAATAGGTATAGCGATAAAATAAAATGATAAGAACAAGCAAACAAGTAAAATTTCTATTTTTATTTTCACAAAACTACTAAAAATTATCTTGATCTGCTAAACAAAAGAGCGTTTTAACCGATGAGATAGAAAAAACCCAAGCGTCTTAAGCGAGTTTTACTGTATAATAAATGTATTGTTTTTGTAAAAAAATTAATTAAACCTTAATTACTAATAAAATAATAACTTTTTTTTTAAATTTTTTATTAGAAATTTCAACGATCTGTACATTTAATTAGTATAATAAGCTGAAAAGATGGAGAAATGTAAAAAAAAAACCTATATTGACATGAGTACATGAGTGAAGAGACCATCCAGCGACACTTCAGCCAAAATAATAACTAATTCAAATTTAATAAATCCACTAAAAGTAACCCATAAGACACCAATTATAAGGCAAAATAATAACTACCATTTTCCCATCCTATTATTCTTAATGTTATTTAATAAATATAAAAACATAAAAAAAAAAAAAAACCACTTGCAAATTTAAAAACAAAATTGTAAACATTTCTACTTAACTACATTTTGCATTACAACAATAATTGGCCAACATGTAAAATAAGTTTTACTGTTTTTTTTTTTTTTTTTTTAATGTTTATTTATATCTACTACTGATAGTAGAAAAATCAGTAGACAGTACTTATTTAGTCAACATTAATTATATAGCATTGCTTATCTGATTAATATAAATCAATGATGCATAATATATATATACACATAAATATATTTAAGAAAGAAATATTTATCTTTTATTCCTTCCATATAGATACAGAAACAAATAATAAAAGCACTTATAAGAATTAATTATGTCAGAGATCATTATTTTTTTAAACAATACTTACGAATAATGGCAAAAATTAGGACACAACTGTTGATAACTGGTCCACATTTGGTGCATTGTCATCAGCTGATGCACTAATATTATCAACTACATTGTCAGTAGCTTTATCGAGCTCCTTTTCGACTTCTTCAACAATTGGTACGTCATTGTTGGTGGTGATGGCAGTTGTAGTAGTTACAGCTTTTAAATCTGTTTCAACATGGTTAGTGTCATCATTAAGAACTTTAATAGGTTCTATGGCTTCTTTTTCTACGATTGATTGATCACCGTTTGTAGACTTGACTTGCTCATCAGTATCTCCATTTGGTGTTACAATATCATCTTTAGTTGCTACACAAAATCCAATATCATTATTTACGATTTCTTCCACTGACTCAATTTTTTTTTCATTGTTTTCACCATTGCTATTTTCCAAAGCTACTGGTTCTTGTTTAGGCTCATCTTGAGATACATCATTTTTCGGTTTTTCAGTTACTTCAGGATCTTTCATTTTAATAATTTCTTCTGCAATTTCAGGTTTTTTATCTTCAATTTCAACTGACATATTATCTTTTTCTTTTTCATCGTTAGTGACTGTAGGTTTTTCAACAACTTTTTGATTTTTAGAATCTTCAAGTGGTGCATCAGTCTTCTCCTCAACAGTTGGTAAATCTTTTTTTTCTACTTCAGATGGTGGTGACACATTGGTTTCAACATTATCAGCATTTAATGATGACACACCAGATAATTCTTTTTCCGTGTCTATTATTTTACAATCAACTTTAGTTTCGAAACAAGTGGTATCATTAGTTTCCTCTTTTATTTCATTTTCTCCTGGATTATCAACCTTATCAGAAGATGCGTTATCTTCAGTTTTAGTTTTTTTAGCTTCAGGCAATTCAATTGTTTCTTCAGTTGTCTTACGTTTTGATCGTTTTGGTTTTTCAGAAGTCTTTAAGGTTTTTTTTACAATATTTTCTGATTTTGGTGTAGTCACTACGCCCTTTGCAGCTAACCTTGAGCTTCTCCTTCTACCATTACCTTCTTGATCCATTTTGAATGGTGCCTAAAAAATATAAATAAATAATTAAAGAAAAGTAGTAAGTTATAATAAATTAAACATATTATTTTTAAACAGGTATCTAAATTAAATTATAAGAGTAAATATTTTATGTAACATAGGAATGTATATTAAATAATTCATAATATTTATTTTGTAAAACTACAAATAACATCGTTTTTAAATAATAATTAATATTATTTTTATTGTTGCCAAACTATACATCTTAATGATCCAATATCATAATATGATATCAAAGCAATATAATTGAAAATAATAAATAACATAGGTTATGTTTTAGGAAAATTATTCAGTAATTGAATAACAATGAAAAGTAAAACAAAATTTTATACCTAATTAAAAATATATAATTGACCAATTTCACTATTTTCAGGTAAAAATGAAAATAAATATTGTACTTAATACTGTATGTATTGTAGCTTAAGTAATTATGAATGATATATCCTTAGTTATCAAGGAGAAAAAAAAGCTTACAATCTAATATTTTAAAATATTGATAAATAAGAATTTTTAAATTTCTAGGATATCCAATCTTAATTATAAAATTATAAGTCAATTCAATCAGTAAACATTTAAATTTTCTACTAAATACTAACCCAAATATGTGGTGGATATAATAATATTAAAAAAGTATTAAATTAATTAATTAAATGAAAAATTAATTTACACAAAACTATTTTATACCATACTATTAGTAGAATTTAATAATAATTCCAAGTATTTAAATTATAAACGTTATTAAATATTAAATATATTAATACAATTTTCCAATAAACATTAATTTTTATCATTATTTATAATAACAAATTGAAATTCTATAACTTTTAATTGCAATCCACATAAAAAAATATTATTTTTATTAATGAGTTTTCAGGATTATATTTTATTTTTTTTTCAATATAGTACTTACTTCAATAATGAATTAGTACAATGGTGCCTAATAAAAACAATTTCATACAAATATTACTATTTTAATTTGTATTTTTTTTTTATATACTCAGAGAAAATAAAAATTTAATCAAGAAATTACCAATTTTACTTAGAACACGATTATTGTTATATGTATAAGACTATTAATTCTTATAACCTATGAATTAACTCTTACTATGAACAATAACTTTATAATACCAACTATAAGCTATATAAATATTTACTTGGTTCACATAATTATATAAATAGCTCAAAATTAAAAAGATGTAACCGCTTATTTTAAAAATTATAAGATCAAAAACAAAATTCTCAAGATAAAAATATTATTCAATTATCAGTATTCTCGTCAACATTAGATTATTATTGAATAAATTTAGGTTCAGTAAATAAAATGTTGAATGTAATATGGCTTTTAATCTATACTTACCAAAATATAATATATTATGTATAAGAAAAAAAATATTGGTCACTTATGTCATCAAACATAACTTGGATTTTTTTTTTCAATATAGGTAATAATTATATAATATGACCGCCATAAAATTAGTAGGTAAAATAAATTTGTATTAGGAAGTTTAAACGATATGATATAAATATGAAAATATGATGTAAACAAATAAAACTTAATATTAATTAAGTATATCAAATGAAATAAAATTGTATTGTTGTGATAAAATGTGTTTAGATAATTAATAGATTTAAACGATACAATAAAATTTATTAACTGTAGTAATAATATCATAAAGGATATAATTAAAATATTTAAGAATTTTTGCTTGAACAAATTATGTATGTGTTGATCAGAAAATATAGAAACTAAAAAGTCAATATTAAATGTGAAAAATTGAATTTTCATGTCAAATTTATCTATCTATAAGTTGAAGTCATTATCTGGTACCAACTGCCTATTGCGATTCCCTAACTTGAATATATGACAGATTAGATAAAGTATAAAATGTCCTGACTATGAGATAAATGATAGAATTCTACTTCTATAGAAAATAATGTATATTTACCCAAATGGCAAATACTAATAATAAATATACAATACACATTTTTACTAATACAGTAGAACTTCGATTAACCGTCACTGTCAGGACCGGGGCTATGACGGTTAACGGAAATTTTGCAAAAAAAAAAAAACGTGTACATACATATACACACATTTATTATATTTTTACGTGTGTGTACACGACACATAAACTACGAAAACACTAATACACACGGTACACACTTACACGTAGGCTGTACGTCGGTCACTGATTAAATTACAATACATACACACATAAATTTATAGTTCGTTTATCATGTTTATCGTTCATATTGGATATGTACATATTACAAACTATTTTTATACACTTTATAGTTACTGTGTTGGGCACCACGACGAGTTTATCACAATCGTCTAATCGCCTAATTATTTTTTTTTTCGGCGATGACCGATGACGGATAACAGAGAGTGACGGTTAATCGAAGTTCTACTGTAATTAAACATTTTTATTTCAAATTTTATTAATGTCTTAAATTCTCTCGGTAACTCGAAGTTTCGATATGTCAAATTTATTTTCAGTTTTTTGATACTTTAAGATACCGAGGTTTCACTGTATTTTAAAACTAATATAAAATTATAGTTAATTTATCGACAAAATATTAAGATTAATCAAATCACCATTCTGGTGCTTACATCCTTTTATTTGGAGCTGTCAATAAATTAAATGTAATTTTCAATTAATAATGGCATTTTGAAGAGGCATCTTTTTAAAGAAAAAAATTGTCTTAAAATACTTTAGAACCAATTATATTAATTTAAATTGTATACCTAATGTAATATAATTTATTCCAATAAATGGTGGACATACTCAACTTTAAATTAATATTGATTTGTTTATAGAACAGTTTATCGTTCGATGTATTTTCTGAAACGACAAAAACAAGACATGTCAAAACTAAGTATCTACCTATATAACATAAAAACACCTGGCTTAACGTATCAATTTAGCTGTGTTATCAATATCACCAATTTAATCATTATACCTACTAAGTTTATACCAAAAAATATTAATGCATACTTATTTGTAAAAATATTAATTTTAGGATTATATTAAGAGGTTTAAAATATAATACAAAAAATTTAATTTTTGTATGATTTGAAATAACTTTAAAATGTGTAAGGTGAATAAAATAATGATCAGTCAACTATTTTTTAAATATATTTAGTAGGCACCTACATACCCAATTTATAAATAAATTTTGAACAAGTCTTACATATTAAATAGTATAATTAGATTAAATCTTACATAACCTACCAGAGTAAGCCCATTGTTTTTATTGTCGCCTAATATACACTTTTAATCAGGTAAATTAAAATACTAAAAGCAATCAAATTTTTAAAATCTATTAAAAGAAGTATTTAAGAATTTTGATGAAATAAGTAATTAATAATATTCTAGTAGATTTCAATTTCAAAATATAAAATAGATAATTTAAATTAATAAAAAATAAAAATATTTAACTTAAAAGATAATTATATTGTATATTATTTCTGGCAAACTGAAGACATTTTCAGAAATAAATAACTTAACTAAAATTGTTCAAGAAAAATAATAAAAAATTGAAACAGGTAACGGTTGATACAAATACAAAACAGTATTCTTAAAACTAAAACATCCATAATATATACACCTAGGTGCTAAACAATAAGCATAGAAGTTAGCCGGGTTAACAAGTACGTCGTTTATCATGTCATGTGCTATACAATTATGGTAGGTCATTAACCATGATCTACCAGCAAATTTCCAGAGTTTAATAGATCTTAACTAATTGGAAATAACACGACTAACGATGTAGCTGTAAACCCAACTTAAATTTCACAAAAATACAGTTTATATTCAATATAACAAATATGACAGTAAAAAATACCTTCAACTATCTACTAAATACCTATGCAAAACATAATGCCAGTGAAATAATAATCAACTAACAGACAATCAATTGTCTAATAATCTACCAATAAAAGGTGCAAAGCATAAAATCACATAAACTCGTGATAATTGTTTATAAAACAGTCGTATTTTAACGGTAACTGGTGCTCATGTTGATGGCCATACGCATGGTCAGTACATGATCACAACAGACAATAGTCAAACCATTTTTCGAAAATCACTCAACTCGCTTACTCGCCGCCACCTGTCAACAGACAAGAGTCGTACGAGTACAACAACGCGCGCGTACCACCACCCCACCTCTCCTTGGTCACACCAACAACAAAATACAAGACAAGTTTGAGAGTTGAGACCATCACTTGCTAGGAACGAGAATTAACATCACAAAAATATTGTACCGGACGCCGTGTCTACTAAATCGATTTTCGACTGGACGACGCTGTTTGTACGACAATGACCACGGCGGCGGCGGCGGCGTTACCCCCCGCACCGTCGGGTAATGATCGCGGCAAGAAGACCGTACCCAATGAATTTTTACGTACGGAAATCGCATAGAAATAATCCAAAAACATACTTACGTAGAAAGTCGACGAACGATATTATCTGTACGATATAGTAACGACTGCGCCGACGATGAAGTCTGGATGGGCACGCGTAAAATTGCAACCTGTCGGCGACGGGACTCTTTCTCATCCACAATTGACCGTTTCGGCGGTAATCGTGTCCGCTATAGCTGTGACAACGCTACTGCTACGGTTACTTCCTACTACTACTATAACCGTAAAACGGGTAGGGGGGGAAGGACGACGACAATTTTCGGTCGCGTACAACACGTGCGATACGGACGGTTAATACTGAGAGCCCGGCGAATAGCAAACGACGACGTGCAGACGATCAAACGACAATAACTGGAGAGTGAAAAAAAATAAATACCAATGCGGTTGGCGATCGCCGAAAAGACGACCGGAATAGTACGTTAGCGATTTACACTTAACGGACTGCTGCTAGGACGCGACAGAACATGGATTAAACGAGTCACACGAGGAACCGCTTGGAATTGATAGTAAAACACTGAACAGTGAACAAAACGCATACGGCTCACGCAGCACGCACACACACACACACACACACACACACACACACACACACACG